AAGCATTTGGTCATTTGCCTCCTGTACGTGTCTGGACTAGGAATCGAACCCACAACCTAGATATGTGCCCTGACCAGGAATTGAACCTACAACCTTTTGGTTACAGGATGATGCACCAACCGAGCCACACCGGCCAGTGCAGTAAACACTCTTGGAACATTTTAAAGCTTTGCAGTGGCTCCACAACTCCAGGTAGTCCACGCCCTCTCCAGTTTGGTACCATGGCACAGTGGTTCCCCAAAGAATTGAAGAGTCAGCATCTATCTCATAGAACTTCAGCCTCAGCTCCCAGCAGGACCATGACTCAGTGTCATTGCTCTGAAACCAGCCCCATGTCACCCAGAACTATCCCCAGGCCACCTCACAGGCCCTGGGGTGCATGGGACACTGGCCTGCCGCTGAGCATTGCTCTTCACTCCTGGCCTTCCCCCTCAAAGGACTGGAAAACAGGGCCCCTTCCAAGTCAAACAAGAGCTCACTGGGGCTGGTACGCAGGCATGGGCAGGAGGGAAATAGCATTTCCTGATTCCGCCTTCGCTGATTAGATGGCATCCAGACGGTGTGCTTCCTCCGGGAGGAGGCCCAGCCTTGCTTGCTCATTAGTGACTTCACACTGAACTCAGATGAACACCCGAGGGCTGAGCCCATGGCCCGGAGATGTGCTGCGTATAAGGATGTCTTCCTGAACCTCAGGCCTAACACAGCCTTCTTTGCCTGAGAGCCTCCGGCTTGAACTCTGCCTGAGTCAGCACAGGCTTCTTGAACTTTGCTGGGGAAACTTGTGCAGCTGCCCAGGCTCGGTGTGTATTCCCATCCTAACTTCTTCCCTTTTAGGAGCGAGAGCAGAAAACTCCAAGCCTTAGGAGCTGAGAAAAGCCAAGCCAGGAGAAAAAAATCATGAAGGGGACAGGGAGGCCAAAGGGTCTCTGACCTGGGGTGGCGCGAGGAGAAAGGGACTATGAATGGCGATGAATGTTCTTTTCTGGAGAGTGTGGGCCTTAGAGTCCCTGGCCACGGTCTCTGGTCGGGAGACTTGTTGGAGTGACCTTGGCAACGATCATCAGGGAAAGACACGAGGAAAGGACTGTGCTTTTCAAAATTATTTCAAATACCACTTTCTGTGGGTTTTCTTCATGAAAATAAGTTTGCTGGGTTTTAATACTCTTTTTTCATGATTATTAATTAGGACATACTCGATGTAAAACATTTAGAAAATTCTCCACTCATACCTGGAAGAATGGGCTTGAGGGTTTTCCCTTTGTATTTTCCCAACAAGCCTCCTTGACTTTAGATAGACCTAGTGTTTATAAGGGACCATCCACCTGCATGGGGGGCTTGGTTCACAGCTGAAGTTATTTCTAAAGGGGGAGAAACGTTATCCCCTCTAGTGTCAGCCGCCAGGTGACCACGGAGGATGGGACAAACCCCTGCACAGGACTAAATCCAGACAGGCAAGGTGACACCATTGGGGTGTGGGTGTGGGGAGTTAATCAGAGAAGCTTTTGGAAGCTCGACGACTCAGAGCGAGATACTGTGTTCATACAGAGGCCTCCTGCAGCCTCAGTGTGTGCTGTGCCAGAGCCCTGTGAATATATGGTCCGGCACAAACAGTGCCCAGTTTTTATTACAAAATCTTTTATTACAAAATCATAAGCATATAATTTGGTAACATAACAATATCACACTCAAGCACCCCATATGACATTTTAGGTGAAGTGTTCAAATTAAAACCGTAAATGGTTACACCCATATAGTTACCCTACCAACCACACTGAAGCAGGCGTTACTACCGCCGGGCCCTGTATATGGTAGCTCCAGGCCCTACGAGGAAGGCAAAGGTCTGGGCACTCTGACCTGCCTCAGGCGGCTCCTGGCGCTGGCCCCTGAGTCGGTGACGTGCCAGTGTCAGTGGCGTCATCCAATGGTCTGAACCCCAGTGGCCATGGCCTTGGGATGTGCCAGCAAAATTCAGGAAAAAAAAGATTGAAATCTAAGTACTGCTCCTTGGAACATTAGCCCATGGAATGTGAGGCAAAGATGAAAGAGACCTTGAGATCAGAAGCCCTGGGTGCGAGTCGGGGGCCCGGCCCCTGGGCCCTGGCCCCTGACCTCTGCCCCCCTCCCCAATCCAATGCAGCACGTTCCTGTGCTGCCAGGAGAAGGAGCCGAGGGAGAGAACACAGGAGGGCTTTGCGACCCTCACCTGCGGTGGAGGCGAGAAATTAATGGTGCCACGTTGTCAGGCCGCTTTGCGTGGGAGCAGAGCCCCTGGCAGGAGCTCGAATCCCTCCACATCCCTGTGTCGTTCTCTCTGCCTCAAGGCCGTCAAAATTCCTCCAGAAGAACCAGCTGAGAGGGAGGCCAGAGAACCCCACTGTTCCTTTAAGAAACTGCTGTTTCCCTGGGTTCATTTTGGGGTAGTAGCAGTGCTTTGAACAAGGGCACTCTGGAAATAATCTTGTACTTAGAGAATCATTGGTTTATTTTTCAGGCTGTGTTTCTGCTTCAGCATTTCTAATTTCCTGTTCCTCTTTTGCTTCACCTTACAAATCATTATGTGCTGCTGTCCCAGACCTGGTTCTTTCTGGCTGTTGGGTGGAAAATGCCTCTACGTCCTGATCGAGTGGGGGTGCCATGCATCGTGTTCCCAAAGAGGCACCTGAGTTGTGGTTTCTGCCTGGAAGGAGGTTCTGTCCTCTCTTTCTGCCTGTGACGCCCCTCTCCTGGGCCTGTTGAGTGCAGTGCCAGGCCACTGTTGCATAGGCAGACAAGGTCTTGGGGAGCCTCCCCGCTGAGGTTGCTACAGGTGCCCGGGGCTGCAGTGGCCTCTCTGCAGCTGCAACTTTGTGTCCTGACATTTTCCTAACCCCTGACTCCAGCCAACATCCAAGGCTCTGTAGCGCGAGCCGCGCGGATCTTTCGCCATTCCTGGTCAGTCACTTTTTTGTCCGGGGCCCTGCCATTCGGACACAGTGTGAAGTGCCAACAACCCAGAGGCAGGCGATGGTCCCAGACCCAGGGGAGGCCGACCCGACCACACACCTCACACCACCCGGCTCTCTGGGAAGGGAGGAGATGAAACCTGGGGGAGGTACAAAAGGACCTGCGGGCTCGATGGTTTGTAAGGTGTCCGGGCCCCCGGCACCGCTCTGCCTCCCCACTGCTGTCTTGGCAGCCCTGGTCTCTCCTCCTGGGGAAAGCAGCCCCCTGGCAGCGGCGCCCCCCACCCCCAGCGGGGGATTCTAGCTCAAACAATGAACCTGTGCTGTGGTGGTCCAGGTGTGTTTGGTAGAATTTTAGCTGGTTTGCAACCTGGAGCTGACGTTAACCGTGTGGAAGAAATAGGGTAAGATGAACGAGGAGTTGCCAAAGGGCATTGCAACCCCTCTGCGATCACATCCGTTGCAGGCCTTTGCGGCTAGAAAGACTCCAGCATCTCAGTTGGCTTGGGAAGCTTATTTTTGCCAAGGTTTTTATCACTAAGCAGGCGCCAGATCGCTGTTCCACTCACAATCCGGTTATGGCCAAGTTCAAACAATGAACCTGTGTGTCCCACGTGTAAGAATGTCCGAAGAGAATGCCTTCCCCCTCGCCAGGATCAAACTCCTGGCGCCCTTTGTGATATGCGAGACCTCAAGGAAGGTCTCTCCATCCCCAAACTCGGAAACATGTGTTAGAGCTAGAAAATGGCCCAGTGTGGACCACCTAGGCCAGGTCTCTGGTTATGCCTTCAGAGGTCCGTGCACTTCACCACATAGACCCCATCCTGTGACTGGCCGGGGGAACTACGGCTGGGGGGGCAGGGAGGGGGACAGGGGACAGCGGGGTGGCACTCCCAGGCTGGCAGCAGGGCTGGTTTTGCCAGGATGCATTCCCCACCCTAAGATTCTCTGGGGAAGGGGTGAAGCAGGTAAAAATAGGCGATATAGCTTGATGCAGAGCACTCTCCTGCCCCACTCCTGCCCCTTGCCTGAGACAAAGGGCCCTCTGTCCTTCCTCTAAGTCTGGGTGTGGAGCCTGGGACTCTCTGCCACCTCCCGCCGCCCACCCCTTGCAGCACGAGGGGACTTGACGTTACAGAGGCTGGAGAACGGAAGAGCCAGTGCTCTGACCCTGTCACCCCAAGGAGGTTTCTGAATCTGACTCCACTTCTCCAAATAGAAGCTCCCCCTGGGTCTTACCTTCCAGAAACTGGGGATCTAGACTACACTTCTAAATCCGCCTAGAGAGAAATTGAAATCAAAGTGATCACCCCTCTAAGGTAGCTGCCGATTTTCACCTAACCCATGGTATGAGTCCTGAGCCACTTCAAGCCTCCAGCTGCTGCCCAGTGTGATAGAAATGCTAGGCTCGGGATCTTAATGAATGAGGCTTGTTCTAAGGAAGAAAAGTTTGCTTCAGGCTGCGTGTCGCTTTCTACGCCTTTACAGATCACCATTCAGAATTGTTTTCCCCTCCCTTCTCTCTCTCCTCTATTTTTCAAGATCACAAAGACAACAGGGTGGAAAGTACCACCTGGGTTGCTACAATCCTGATAAATGGACTCTGGAGCCAGGTGCTGGGTGTAGTCCCTGCTTTTGCTGCTTGTCACATGTCTTTGGACAAGTCACTGAGCTTCCCTGTGCATTGGTTTCCTCAGTTCTGACATGACCACCAGCCCACAGAACAACCATTTCATAGGGGTGTGGCAATCTAGTACAGGGCTGGTGTACCCTGAGTCTATGCACACGTTAGTGATGACGACGATGTCATTCTGTGGTAGCAGAGGATGATGGGAAGAATGTGAGGCCTGGAGATCTGGGTCCAGATCCCAGCTCTGCCACTTGCCTGTGATTAGGGTACCAGATTCTGAACCTTAGCATGTGTCCGTTTTCATAGCTCTAAAACTGGGCTGAAATTGTGTCTCCATCCAGGGCGCTTGTAAAGACCCAGGGGAATTGGGCTGGCAAACTGTTTCACCCTGCAAACCGGGCTAACTATGCTCTCTTTCCCCTTCCCAGGCACACATTCTGGCAGTTTCGCCATGAGAACCCCAAGACCCGGGTTGGGGACCCGCCTCCCAAGGGGCTCCCTGGCTTCAACAGTGGGGTGATGCTGCTGAACCTGGAAGCCATGCGCCAGTCCCCGCTCTACAGCCACCTGCTGGAGCCAGCACGGGTGCAGCAGCTGGCCGACAAGTATCACTTCCGAGGCCACCTCGGGGACCAGGACTTTTTCACCATGATCGGCATGGAGCATCCTGAGCTCTTCCACGTGCTGGACTGTACCTGGAACCGGCAGCTTTGCACCTGGTGGAGGGACCACGGCTACAGTGACGTCTTCGAGTCCTACTTCCGGTGCGAGGGCCACATCAGGATCTACCATGGGAACTGCAACACCCCTATCCCAGAGGACTAGGTACCTCCTCGCCTGCCATGCCCGCGGGCCTCTGGATCTGGGGGACGGAGCGGCCCCCAGGTGGTGTGTGAACCCTTGAAAGACACTGCAGGGACATCCTTTGTGATCAGGTGCTGCAGCTCTTCCACCTCATGGGTCACTGTCCTGAGGCCACCTCGTGATGACTGGCCTGCACATTGCTGGTGCTTGGGGACTTTTCCCTCCAGGGGGATAGACATCATGAAAGGCAAGCATGTATCCATCTTCTAGTGGGCAAGGAAGCAGCCATTTGAAGAGAAGAAAGGAAAGAAAACTGTGCCCTTTGACTTCAGCCCCCAAAGAATGGAAATCCTTTTAACAACCAGCCTTTCTTGGACCAAATATAAATTTATTTTAAACTGATAGGCTTCCATTTTGAGAGGAAGAACAAACAGAACTTCTGCAGCTCCCAGTGAGCTCTGAACCAGTGAGCCAGGGTTTTAACAGCTGGCCTGGATGTTAGACATCCCAACGAAGGTCACCCTTCCACGTGTGCACCCAGAAGGCTGTGCTCACTCCCATGATGCTCAGGTTGTCTGCTGCAGGTGTAAAGGTCACCACCTCTTTGGGGAGGACCTTCAGTGCCAGTGGTGGCCCTCGTCACAAAACTGGTCTCATTACTGTAACCTTTGCAGGTCTTACCTCCCAGCTGCATCACAGAACCTCATTATCCCTTATCCATCCAGGCAGCTCCAGGTGACCAGACTGTGCTTGGAAGTAAAATCTGTCATCAAAGAACAGAGGTTGGCCACCCCCAAGGATGTGCAATGGAATTGTCCGGATGGAGAAGATGCATTCCAAAGAGGAGCCCAGCTGTGCTCGAGTATTACTGCGTGGCTCAGACAGGCTGTTGCTCTTATGCTTGTCAGCTTTCCAGCCTCTGTCTAAAAAAATCATCCTCCTGACTTTCTCATTGCACCATGTCAGACCTACACCTTTGAAGAAATTAGGATATTTTTAAAGTTCTTCTTCCAAAGAGTTCTCCTGTAAGTAAGCTACAAGCAGGAAGCCCCTAGTGGTCCATTTTGTAGAATCCAGCTGAAGTCCTTGGGGAAGAAATGCTGTTGGATTTTTTCCACCTTATTTTATTTCAATTTCATTTACTTTTTTATTTCTTTTCATCGTGAGCGAATAGCTAATAAATAATCTTGGAGAACACAGTGATTTCTGTTGTTTGTGCTGTGAGCGCAGTTTTCCGTTACACGAAGGTCCTGAATCGAGAGCTCAATCAGTGTCACTCAGCGTCCCTCTCCGCGCGACGAAGCTGGAGAGCATGCCTGGGAGGGCACGGGCAGGACGGTCATGTTCCAAGGGGTTCGAATCGAAAGCCATCGTATTCTAGGTATTGGCAGGCCCTTCTGCTCCTGGGACAGCCCCGCCCTTCCGCCCTCTCCTAACCCCAAGCTGCCCTCTTACATTTCTCTCCTCACTCTCAGCTCTGACAGAATGGGTCTGTTTTCCTAGGTACTTGATTTCCTATTTATAACTGCCAGTCATTGAATTTCTGCTATGTACCAAGCATTGCATTGAGGGATTTATGTACACTATCAATAATACTAATGAATACCTCATGAAGGTAATTAAAATCGCAATTTATTGTAAGAAAATAATGAGCAGTATGGGCAGAGAGTCATTGTTTGTCACAGCATTTTTTATAATAGAAAAATCTGGACCAACTTAAAATGTTGAATAGAGGAGAAGATAAATAATATGTGTTACATCCATATCATGGAAAAAATCATATTTCTGAAGAATATTTAATGTATTAGGAAATGCTTATAATATGCTATTAAGAAAAGAATGGAAAATATAGATTACATGTACAATATGTTCCTAATTTTATTTTTAAAGTCACATCTATGTGTGTATATGTGTATGTATACATGTGTGTATACATATATGTATGTGTGTACATATAAAAAGAGAGAGTCTGCACTGCTATATTTCATTAAGTTACTAAAAACATGTTTCAAATACCACATTTTTTTAAAAACCCAATTATTTCAATGGGGAAAAATGGATAAAGCGCAAGCGCATTTTAGATTCACAATAACAAAGGTATTTTTTTCTGCAGTAATTTCAATAATTAAAGTGTTTCTGTAGCTCTGAGTGTCTTTTATTGCAAGGGGAAAAAAATAAACTGGTTGATCAAAATGGGCAAAAGCCAAACAAAATCTCCTTATTTACTTTCGAGATCGCCAGCCCAGGAGCTTTCCCCCTCCTCTGTCACCAGCGGCCTTGGCCTTACAACGCCACACTTAAAAACAAACCAACTCGGCAGGAAATTCCATCAGACCAACAAAGCCACCGTGTGTTCCTGTGCTTCACCACGAGCAGCTTTCTGACAGATCCTGCAGGGCTGGTTCCTGATTGGGATCCTGTTATAATCAGCGCAGTGCAAACATAATTAATTGTGCTGTGTTTAATTTGCCTTACAGAGACGTCCACTGTAGGGCACATGCCGGTAGGAAGGGATAGAACAAAAGTCTAAAAAGAGAACATTTCTGGGTAGTAGGATGAAGGTGCTTTTTATGTTCACCTGTATTTACTTCTATATTTTCCATAATGAATATTAATAATGTTTATAAGATACAATAAATGCTATACAATTTTAGCCACCCACCTTTCCCCCTATTACAGGCAAGTGTCACCCTGGCCACTTTACAGCTCACAGTTGGCCCTGGTTACCATCAACCATAAGAAAACATAATCCCAGCTAAGTAGGCTCTGCGTTTTCAACTTTCCCTATGGATGCCCTACTTCTCTATATAAAAGCGACCTAATCATAACATCTCCAGACTCTGCTTTCATTTCTGATACCATCATCCTTCGTGTGTACACAAATAATAATGACTTTTGGAAAGCTCATGGGCTTACAGACAAGATTTATTCTTGTATATACGTGAAAACCAAATGATAGCCTCCCCTTCAGCAGCATCTCGCCAAGCCAAAGGGTGGCGTGCTGGCTCGGGGGCCCCCGGCCTAGAGCGTGCCAGGATTTGGGGGGTAAATGGAGCAAGTGAAGCTGTGACTCAGCACCTGCTTTTATTAAAGGCCAAACTTCTGCTCATTCTAAGACCTCCTAGCCTCCTGGCTCATTATGGGAAGCCCAGAGACTGGGCTGAATGTGAGTTTCGCAGGAGCAGCAGAGATTTCTGAGAAAGCCGATGGCGTGGCGGAGAGAACCGTGCACCTCTAGGACAGAGGCCTGACTTCGAATCCTCGTTCTGCCCTCCCTACCTGGGCAATCTCGGGCAAGCAAGGTCACCTCTTCCCCACTTGTAGACAGGTAATAAGGACTCCCTGAAAGGAGTGTGGGAAACCCTCCCAGAAAAGAGAGCATAATGACTTGGGAAGCTGAGAAATAATTACACAGATCCAAGGGAATTCTTAAAGTTACTACCTAAAATGTTCTTTTTTCAAAATTAAATTTATCGAGGTAACATTGGTTAATAACATTATATAAGTTTCAAGTGTACATTCTATGATACACCATCTGTATACTCCATTGTGTCTACTCCAGAGTCTGGTCTCCTTCCATCACCATGCGTTTGACCCTTTACTCTCTCTTCATCCTCCCCGATCCGCTTCCCCTGTGGGAACCACCCTGCTGTTGTCTGTGTCTGTGAGTTTGTTTAAAGCATTCTTTTTTAATTGAATTTATTGGGGTGACATTGGTTAATAAAATTATATAGGTTTCAGGTATATAACTCTATAGTATATTATCTGTATGTATATTGTGTGTTCACCACTGCAAGTCAAACCTCCTGTCACCATTTATTCCCTCTTTACCCTCTTCTACCTCACCCCCCAACCTTCCTTCTGTCGATCACCGTACTGTTGTCTGTGTCTAAAACATTCTTTTAAAAATGAAAGCCATGTGGGGCACATTAAATTGTCGCTGGCATCTCTGTAAAGCCCAGATGCTTGTAGGCCACCCTGCCATGTGGTTATTTGCACATCGACCTCACCGTCTGTACGGTTTGTGAGCTCCTTAAGGGCAGAGACCTTGCTGGTGTCACCTCTGCATGTCCCCCAGCACCCACTCAGGCCTGGCACAGTGCAGGGGCCACAGGCTGAGGGGAGCGGTGTTCCGTGGGTGCTTGGGCTGCTCTGCCCTTTGCTATGGGATGTGGGTGAGGCCAGAAGGTCCCAACACTTCCCTCCCTCCTTTCCCCTCTACTTCATTCTCACCATTAGTTTAACTTCAGGCTTAGAGGGTTGAGTACATGACCCTCTTCAATCTATGACCCATCCACCACGACTCCCAGTTAGGCCCCTCTCTCGCTTTATTTATTCATTCCCATTTATCACCATATCCCACTCCCATCCCCCAATACACAGTCATTCTGATCCGCTTACTGTGTAAACTTTCTGATCTTTCAAAATGATACTGTTTTGTGTATGTGTGTCTTGATTTGAGTTACTCAGAATATTCTCATGCCCTTTCATTCAGCGCTGTGGTTTTAAGGTCCACCCCTTGGCACCCACACGTAACTGCCGCCCTTACTCTGCGGTGCGCTCCCGCCAGTTTCCCTGCCCTCGCCCTCATCGGTGCGAACCCAGACAACCTGCCACCCACCTACTCACCCCCACACAGGTGACCCTGCCATGAACATCCTTGTCCTTGGGCCTCATGGACCTGCTCAGAATTTCTTCGTGTTGTATATCCAGGGATTGAACTGCTGGATCATTAAGAGATGCAGGTACCAACATTCCTGCGTAAGTGGTGCCACCTGCTCCCGAGGGCTGTCGCCCTCTCCCCACTTTCACCAGCACGAGCCCTCCCTTTCTCTGCATGACTGTGCTCAGGTTCACACATGTCTGCAGTGACACACACGTGGTCCTGTGCTCATAATGGAGTTTTCCAAACTGTGTGGCCCCAGTTAGAGATGCTCTGCGTGGGTGGCACAACGGTGCCAGTGGGAGGCGGGGGAGGCAGGATGGGACGACAGCGGCCCTGGGTTCTGGCCCTCACCTCACCATATGACCTTGGCCAGCGAGGCACAGCTCTGTGAAAATGGGAGAGTTCAGCTGGCTCCTGGCCTTGCCTCCCCCCAGAGCGACTGTGATAGTAGGTAAGATAACCCACAGGAAAACACATACAAGGCCCTCAGCGTTCCCTTGCTCCCGTGCATGGCAGCCTGTCCCCAGTGCCACAGGCGGTGTCATGGTGGGTGCTTTCAGCTTCCCTCCATGGAGGCGCTGTGGCCAGCCCACGTCCCGCCCAGCAGCGTGTCCTAGGCATCTGGCCCCACACCCACGCTGCCCAAGGGTAGTACCCAGTATCTCCCCGTTCGGGCATCCTGTCTTCTCTCAGGAAGGCCTCCTCGCTCACACCCCAGGCAGCCACCCCGCTGACTCACCCAGCCTGAGCCTGGCACTTCCCAAAGTATGGAGTGCCTTTACGCCAGGCACAGAGCCGGAACCGAGTCTCCGCTGGCTGTGTGCAGAATTTCCGTGCACGGAGGGCCTGCTGTCTGCGACGTGGTAATCTTCTGTTCGAGCAGCTGTCTGAGTCAGAAAGTGGCAAGAATGTCAATAATATTCCAAGGCTAAGCGAACACATGCTTCGAAAAACTTAAGTCCTTGTTCACGGTCATAGGCAGGCAGCTTCATGGGAAACTTGGGTCCATCCCATCTTGTCCCACTTCTCAGAAAAACTAGCCTTCTCTCTCATCAGGGAAACCATGACAACCCTCCCTGCCAGGCACCCCTTTTGGATGCCTCTGTGGTCTCTGCCCTCCTGTTTGCCTTCCCTAGCCCAGCCTCCTCCCCCAGGGCCCCCCAGGATCCTCCTGCAACCCCCGACAATTGTAAACTTCCCAGTGGGGGCTCCCACCATCTCATCGTGGGCCGAAACCACTGGTCTATGATCCTGTACCATGCTCTGCCTCTCCCTACTGGGCTTCTGCTGTCCTGGAAAGCAGGCTGAGATGGAGATCGACGTCAGGAGGCTCCCTGGGAAGTGTCCTGTAGGAGAGGAGGGAGCAGGACTGGTCAGGGAGAAGCCGAGTCATAGGAGGGGAGTAGGACAGGTCAGGGAGAAGCTAAGCTGGGCGGCAGTCATAACGAAGGCCTCAACCAGTCCCACACAGAGCTCTAGAGCTGGGCTACTGTGCAGAGAAGCCCTGGTTGGAGCACGGGAGCAGGGCCTTCACTTCCTGAGCTGCTGCTGGTGGAGAGAGGGCCCCCTTGGGGAGGGCCTCAGCTCTGAGCCATCAGCGGCCAGCACTCCTGGGGGGATGAAGCCCCATCCTGAAGGGGGTTCTGGGCAGTACATTAGAGTGTCCACTGTGGAGGGCTTGCCCCCACAGGCCCAAACGCCCAAAGACCTCCTGCATCTTCCTCCACGACTTTCCTTTGAACTCCTCTTTGTTTTCCTCTCAGCCCGGGCATTTCCTGACTCAGATCTCCCCCATTCCAGAGTTCCTTCTCCCTGCTGACACTGCCCTGCTGTTAGAGCCCAGCATGCTCCATGGTGCCAAGTGGCATCGAGGGAAGATTATCTGCTCTTTGTAGGGAGCAAGGCCCTGTCTTCTGTCCCTTCCCTCTGGACTCAAAAGCCAACCTGCCTCTGCTTTCCAAGATCTGTACGTGGCCCAGGGCACATCAACAGCCTGTAGGCTGCCTCTTGGCAGGAGGGAGCAGGATCTCAGCCACCTTGGGAGACAAGTGGGGTGCTCTCCAAAGACCAAGAGCCCTGCCTGACACAAGGGACATCTGTCTTTGCAGGGATGAGGCCAAAACAGGCAGCCTCCACTGGGGTTCCCTACCGCTTACTGTGGGGAAGAGATGGAGGGATTCTGTGAAGAGACCACAGGCTTCAGAGGAGGGGAACGCAAGCTGACACCACAGCGACGACATTGTTTATTTGTATACATCACTGATAGTTACCAAGCACCTGCTGTGAGCGGGATTCTGCGGTCACAGTGGTGAAAAGCACGGGTCAGTCCCCAGTCCGACAGAAGTTCTCATAGTGATGCGACCTCGCTGCTGTGGCCCACAGGTACAGGTTAAGGCACG